TTCAAATATCTTTTACAAAGAAAGTCAAGTTTTATCTCTTGGGATTATCATATTCTATGCATACAAATTAGAGCTACCCCTGATACCAAAATTTCAKTATTAAAATTCTGTAGAAAAAACTAYTTATTTTTAAAGGAATAATACAAACCACATGTTGTACAACATATTTATATAATATGTAAAATCTTTAATGTATTTAATAATTTAAGGATTTTTCAACTGTCAACATAATCAACGTTTCATTTCTGTATGAGCAAAAGGTGGCATCACGATTCCTTGATTTTGCCTCTCCATATTTCCATGCCATCCTGAACATAATGGAAAACGTATAAAACTGGAATTAGATTTTCTTTATGCAAATTGTATGTCATACATGTTGAAGTTAACTGGTTCGTTTGAGAGAAGTGAAAAAGTTATTACCAAGAGACATATCGAACCCACGATGTTGAAGCTCACGATACTCTTGGCATATGGCGCACCGCTCACAACAACAATGGACAAGACAATCGTTGCAGGGTTCCTCAGACAACATGTATTGTTGTCTCATTTTAGACCGATACATAAAAGAATATATCCATTGGCATCCAGTAAGTAGAAGAATTACCGTGTAAAGGGCTCCATGGACATCACAGGCTATTGTTATAAAATAAAGAAACGGATGTCTCATCAAATTAATTCAAATTTGGAACGATACTTCCAGTTCTTCAAGTAAAATCTTTGAGTAATCGTCTTTTTAAACAGTCATATTATTACTTTGTAGCATATACAAGATACTTACAAGTGTTTCCCTTGTCTACAATCTCGGCGATTTGGCCAAAAGGAATACATGGACACCAACATATTAAGCAACCTGAAATAGTTTCAAAGTTACAAACAATTTATAAAAGAAACCTGCTTAATGGATTTAGGTTATGATTTACTAATATAACGTACTTCATCGATAAATATAGGTTACATATAGGCTTACAATTGAAGACATCGGACCCACAATCACAAAGGCCTGTGGACCATTGGCCGACGGAGTTCATAGGTTGAGTTGGAAAACCGGTGGTGTACAGTGGCGGTGGTGGTGGTTGTTGGACAGATGGTGGTGGTGCGTACTCATTGGAAGGGTATATAATGATTAAGGGATCGTTTACCTAAATGCTTACCCGGTAAACACTTATTCTTCTAAGTAACACTATAATTTATTTTTTACTAGGTAAGATTGTAGTACATTAAAATTGTAGCATATACAACAATTTACTCGGTAAGCACTTACCCGGGTAATTAAGGGTCGTCACCCTCACTTACCGAGTAAGAACTCTCCATATTTAACATTGTGCTTACCGGGTAAGATTTTTAACCCTTGTCATGTTCATCAGATAAAAAAAATTACTCGGTGAACACTTACCAAGTAAGCGTTTAATAAACGACCCTTAAAGTTTAATTGGGTTGCTTGTTTGAATTTGGTGGTGATGAAGGATTGTGGAAATAAATATTTATAGAAGACTCAAGATAAGGTATTTTATACACACATAAATGGAAATTCGTTTATTTATATAGGGTTTTATTTAATACATTTAAATAAGGTTTTATATTAAAAAAATCAAAATTTTCATTTAATTTTTAAAAGTTTTTATGATTTTTAAAATAAGCTTGAGTTAGATTTGCAGTTAAAATATTTATTTATTTTATTGAAATACGAAGTAATTTTTTTTTTATATTTTTTTGTCAAAAATCACATGCGAAACCCAACTCACAATTAGTCGACGTCTCTGTTAAAAGTCGCTAATTCTTGTCAAAAATCAAATGTGATATTGATCATAATTAAGTGAAAAAATGTAAATTATCCACAACATCACATATGATATTTGTAATTTGAATCACATTTGATCTTATATATATTACATGTGTTCTGCTACGCATCACATTTCTTATTTGTAAATTTTTTCTTTATTATTTCTTAAACATTTTATTTTCTTTTAAGAAGTATATAAAACATAGAAGTTAAAATTTTGATAAAATAATTTTTTTAACTTTGTTTTATTTTCCGTTTCTTGTAGATTTTGATATAAGTTTTGGTATTAATAAGTTTAATCATTATATTATTATATTTCAGATACTTTTGAACATATACAACTAAAATTAATTTATAAATCATAAATTAATAATTATAAAATATATTTTTCTATTTTTATAAGATGCAGATGACACCATATGAATTATTCCTCATAGCCCTCCTTCAAAGAAAACGGAAAAAGACATCGAGAATCACAAAAGCTCGCAAATACACCCAATTCTCCATATCCCTGACATTTTCCCAAACCTATGAGTTTTCTACAATTTTCCAAATGTTGCTCAATCTTCGGTTTTTAATCATCGTGCTCGATATTGGCCGGCGTTGAGTGCATTTTATGCACCTAACTTTGTATATTTCAGTTGTGTCTTTTATGCTTTTCAGTCCTTAATTTAGTCTTTTCATGTTTTTTTATTGTTCTTTTTTGTTTCTTTCTCTAACTACAATTGGAAGTTCTTTCGGTGATAGTTTTTATGCTTTTTATATGTATTTTTATATAGATTATGCATAGTTTTAAAGACGGAAGAGTGAAGGCATGTTCAAGGTGATTAAAGAAAAGAAACATCAAAAGAATGTCGAAGGTGAAGCCGAAAACGAAGAAAACAAGAAGATAATCGAGAGAAAGGAGGAGAAACAATGGAAGGGAAATCGGAATGGACTGATTGCTGCCCACGCTTCACGGGCATGAAATTCTACTTTGCAAGCGCGAAGAAAACACCTTAATTCATGTTGAAAGTTTTTGCCACGGTTTCATGGGTATCAAGATTTTTTCACGGTCGTGAAACATATTAACTAATTAACTTATTCACATATGAACAATTGAACATGTGCGTTCATATGTGAATTAATCAAATAGTTCACATTGAAGTAATTAACGGATTCATATATGAACATATAGTCCATATGTGTATCACACGGGTTCACATATCAACTCATTTGCCGCCTATTTGTAAAAGTTATGAAACTACTCATCTATTTTCTGCATACCATTACGATGAATTATCCGATATTTCACGGTTAAAGCCATCATCTTTTTACTTTTTTTACTTTTCAAATACTTATCATTTTTCAAATGAACCTTACTATAATTAATAGTTATTTTATTTGAAAATAAATATATAGGTATGCATGCTTCGACTTGGTTAATACAACGTTTAACCACTTCTAATTATTAACTTATGAGAGATTCAAATGTTAAAATATACTCCTTACTTTTATTAATGTCTTTGACTTCATTTATTTATATAGCGATAATATATATATATATATATATATATATATATATATATATATAAGGTTGGGTTCACGTGAGACCAGCCTGTTTTCGTGAGACCCGTAAGACCACATTTTTACACGTAAACTTCACAGCAAAAATACTGTGAAGGTTTAAAAAAGTCAAACCTTCACAACAAAATCACTGTGAAGGTTTTAAAAAGTCACCTTCACAGCATTTTTGCTGTGAAGTTTCAAGTGTAAAATGCTGGTCTCACGGGTCTCACGAAAACAGGCTGGTCTCACATGATCCCAAGTCTATATATATATATATATATATATATATATATATATGTATAGAGAGAGAGAGAGAGATAGAGGTTGGTTAATATACAACTCTTGACATTTGTGCAACCAATACAACCCAATCTCAACCGTTCATTTCATTTTATTAATATGTGATTTCATAGAAGTTTTGATTGTTTCCTAATATAAAGTATTGATCATAATTAATGAATCATATTTTTCTTCCATAAATATTCAAATTATAATAAATGAACTCTCATCATTTCCATAAATATGTCAATTTATTGGGTTGCATTGGTTGTACAAATGTGATGGGTTGTATTTGAAACAAATTATATATATATATATATATATAGAGAGAGAGAGAGAGAGAGAGAAAGAGAGAGAGATAGAGAGACAAAGAGAGAGAACGTTTAAAATGTAATTCATTACATTTGTACAACCAATAAAACCCAATTAATTGAGATATTTATGAAAATGATGAGAGTTCATTTATTATGATTTGAATATTTATGAAAGAAGACTACGATTCATTAATTATGATCAAAACTTTATATTAGGAAACAATAAAAAACTTTTATGAAATCACATATTTATCAAATTAAATGGATGATTGAGATTGAGTTGTATTGGTTATACAAATGTAAATGGTTGCATAATAACTCACCTATTTCTTTCTCTCTCTCTCTCTCTCTCTCTCTCTATATATATATATATATATATCTATTCAAGAGAAAACTAGTTAGTTTGTGATAACTATGAGAAACAATATCAACCAAAAATTAATGGATACTAGGAAACTAATATTTTTGGTAATTTGACTTAAAATTTTAATTATAAGGCATTTTAGGTATTTTAAATTTTTTATCTCTCTTTTGTCTCTCTCTCTAGCTTCTGGCCTCCGATAAACTTTATTTCGGCGAACACCATGTGATACCCAACATATAATATACATAATGTGATATCCAAAACACACCAAGTAAACTTCGAGACTATTGTAATACCAAATATGGTACCACTATGACACCAACTGTGGTATCATTGTGACACCAACTGTGATACCACTATGACACCAACTGTGGTATCATTGTGACACCAACTGTGATACCACTATGATACATACGTTGTATATATGTATGTGTGTCTACAATGTGTGTTGTGTGTGTGCGTGCAATGTGTACGTGTGCAGTGTATGTATGTATGTATGTATGTATGTTGTTGGTCTGGAGGTTAGGATGGAAAAGAAAGTTGGAACGGAAATGGCCACCGGAGTGAAGGGTTCTCCCGGATGGTGGGTGCTACTGGATGGAGGGTGATCGATGAAGGCGTTTGAGAGAAGATTGATGGAGTGTCGATGGAGATGGTGGTCAGTAGCGGGAATGGGGGAAGGGAGATGGGTAGTAGGGGGGATCACATGGACAAAGATGGGGCTAGATGTCGGAGATGTGAGATGCTCACAAGTCACAAGTGGGTTTTCAGTGTTCGATCGTCGATGATGGTGTCTTGGTCCTTGTGTGTTTGTGTGTGTGTGTGTGTATATATATATTAAGGTAGTTAAAGTAAATTGAAATATTAAACTAATTAAAATAAATTGAATAATCAACACAAATTACTAATTTATTCTTCTATTTTATTTTAAGAAAAATATTAATTATCTTAAATGATTGGCTCACGTTGGATCTCAGAGTTACCACAAACTAATTCGTTCTCATCATAGGAGAGCGTTCAAATAAAAACCACTCAATTTGTAAAACCGTGAAAACCCCATTCAACCAATCATAATTTTTCATTTTGTTCATTTTTTTTTTGTAATTATGAGAGGTTGTTTAACCATTTTTATTGTGGAGGGTGTTAATCATGGATATTATCATCTTCATTATTTTAATTTTAGATAAATACATGAAACGGTTTCATTAAAATTTTATTAAATATTATATGAAACAATTTCATAACCATATATGAAACAAATTCATCAAAAAAAGTATTATATGAAACAATTTCACGAGATTAAACAATTTCATGAATTTTTTTTTCATAAGATTAAGACGAATGAAAGTAGTTTTTACGGTTTTTACAAATTGGAGTGATTTTCATTTGATCGTTCATCTCTCTCTCTCTCTCTCTCTCTCTCTCTCTCTATATATATATATATATAGAAAGAGAGAGACTTAATTGTGATTTATTTTGAATTGTCTTGGTTTAATAGGAAGAAAAAAGACTTGGTCCCATTCTACTAACGAATTAACAATGTATTAAAATTAATAAATTAAATCAATCAACAATCAAAAATAAAAAATTCTGAATAATTAATAAGAATTTATTGATCACAACTATTTTCTTTTACAAAATATCTTTATTTACTTATAACAAATCTATATTTTTTTACATCAACCTTTTTTCTTGCATATGATTGGTCGAAAATAATTCTTTTAGTTCATGAAAATGACATTTTTTAGAAAATTCCAATTAAATCACATCATAATTTATGATTTCTTCTTCAACATCTATCGTCTTTATCTTCGTTCTTTTCAATCAAAATATGATTTGTACAGTTAAAATCTTTTGGTATTTTTTTATAAAAAAATTGAGTTGAAGTTGTCTTATTAAAATACGGATTAACAATTAAAAGAAAAACTTGGAGACGGAGATGATATAACTTTTTTTTTTGAAATATATAATATTTATATACGGCAAATGCAACAAATAAACTCACACACCCTCCTCACCTATGGTGAGGTTTGAACCTCTGACCTCCTAGAAAGCCAAGGGCTACGATACCGCTAGGCCAAATGCTCTTTATATATAATATTTATATAACTTGTATGGATTAACGATTAAACAAATTTATTGTATCATACAAGTTGAAGAATAACGTTATATTTTGGTCTATTTTATTAGTTGATTGAAATCCAAAAGCAATACACGCCACCAATAAACTAAGCAACCTACACTTATTGAAAATGGTACAAAATATCAATACGACCGTCTTGTTTAACGGTTTTTGATTTACTTATATCATATACTGGATCGATGAAAATATGTTATAGACTTACAGATAGAAACATCAGAGCAACAATCACAAAGGCCAGAGGACCATTTGTGTGTTGACATCATGGCGGAAGCCGATATGCCGACGGCATATTGTGATTGCAAAGACGCTAATGATGGTTGGCCGTCTGATGGTGGTGGTTGCTCACTTGGCTCTGATGAAGAGTACATGATTTGAAAACTAAATGAGTTGATTGTTTGGATTGGTGGTGGTAAGTGTTTATTAAGTTGATTATTTGTCGTTGTCGGGCCAAGGATAAGATATCTTCACCACATATATTATCCATAGACTTCATCCACGTTGAAACATGATCATGATAATTAAGGGCCGAATGATAACATTATATAAATCCAAAGGGTTGAAAATTATATTATAATATCATTAGATTTGTATTTTCTTGCACTATATGTAACAATATAAATTTAAATTATTTTAATTTTTGATATAATTATTTTTCTTTATAAAACGTTTGCAAATTAAAAAACAATATGGAAACATTATATATAAACTAGAAGTGTACTCGTGCAATGCATCGAGATAAATCCTGATTTCAACGTTTCATTTTATTCTTTATCTACATCAATATAAGATTTCATGTGGTTTTGAGTAAGTGATAATATTTTTATTTTTAAATAAAATATCATAAAATTTTGAAAAAACTATATCGATATTAGTATCAAATTAACCATTTAAAAGTTTTTGTTTTGTGTAATTTATTTAAATCTTTTATTATAATTTAATTTAATGTAACGAAGTAATTTAATTTATGTTTAATTATATAATTCTTTATAAAGATAATAATTAAGTATTCTGTTAAAACTTAATGATTTTCCTAATTATATTTTAGATTTTTTTATATTTAAAATGAGATGTTTATTCTGTATTTGATTATGTTTATCTGCAGTTAGTTACACAAATTCAAACGTAGAGTTTTAATAAGTTGTACTTACGTACAATTTACTTGTAATATTGAATTTTAAGTAATATAAATCAATAAATAGTAATTCGTGCATAAAAAATAATTTTTAAGAATTTTTATCAAATGATCTGTAATATAGTATAGATATAATTTATAAATATAAAAATACTTCAAGGCTTCAAGCCCATAATTTATGTGTTTGGGCCGGATCCAATCTATTTTTTATTTAATAGATGTAATATTTGGACAAAAGTAAGTCATATGTTGTGGACTTAATAGTTGAAAACAAATTTTCAAAAAATTTCTACTTTGGACACCAACTTCTTACTTGATAGTTTTTAATTTTAGAACTTTGGCCACTAATTCTGGATATAATTTTCAGAATTAGTCCTTCAGTTTCAAAAACACCAAGAATGGTACATGTTGAACAAAAATAATTAACTTTCTGAAAATTACGTATTGACCCCTGAAAAGCAAATATTTTGACATTTCACCGTGTGAGCTTGTAATAATTTACAAACTAAACCCTCTATTTTTGCATAAGGCAACCCTAATTTCAAATATCTTTTACAAAGAAAGTCAAGTTTTATCTCTTGGGATTATCATATTCTATGCATACAAATTAGAGCTACCCCTGATACCAAAATTTCAGTATTAAAATTCTGTAGAAAAAACTATTTATTTTTAAAGGAATAATACAAACCACATGTTGTACAACATATTTATATAATATGTAAAATCTTTAATGTATTTAATAATTTAAGGATTTTTCAACTGTCAACATAATCAACGTTTCATTTCTGTATGAGCAAAAGGTGGCATCACGATTCCTTGATTTTGCCTCTCCATATTTCCATGCCATCCTGAACATAATGGAAAACGTATAAAACTGGAATTAGATTTTCTTTATGCAAATTGTATGTCATACATGTTGAAGTTAACTGGTTCGTTTGAGAGACAGTGAAAAAGTTATTACCAAGAGACATATCGAATCCACGGTGTTCAAGCTCACGATACTCTTGGCACATGGCGCATGGCTCACAACAACAATGGACAAGACAATCGTTGCAGGGTTCCTCAGACAACATGTATTGTTGTCTCATTTTAGACCGATACATACAAGAATATATCCATTGGCATCCAGTGAGTAGAAGAAGTACCGTGTAAAGGGTTCCATGGACAGCACAAGCTATTATTATAAATTAAAGAAAAGAATCACTCAGCAAATTAATTCAAATCTTGAACCATACTTCCAGTTCTTCAAGTAAATAAACATACAAGATACTCACAAGTGTTTCCCTTGTCTGCAATCTCGGCGATTTGGCCAAAAGGAATACACGGACACCAACACGTTAAGCAACCTGAAACAGTTTCAAAGTTACAAACAGTTTATAAAAAAAATCTTGCTTAATGGGTTTAGGTTATGATTTTATGATATAACCTACTTCAATGATAAATATATGTTATATATAGGCTTACAATTGTAGACATCAGACCCACAATCACAAAGGCCCGTGGACCATTGGCCGACAGAGTTCATAGGTTGAGCTGGAATACCGGTGGTGTACAGTGGCGGCGGTGGTGGTGGTTGTTGGAAGGATGGTGGTGGTGCGTACTCATTGGAAGGGTACATAATGATTAAAATTGAATTGGGTTGCTTGTTTGAATTTGGTGGTGATGAGGGATTGTGGAAGTAAATATTTATAGGACGAATGTTAGAAAAAGTCAAGATAAGGTATTTAATACGCACATAAATGAAAATTTATTAATTCTTATAAACAAATTATATATAGAAATTCATTTATTTGTATAAGGTTTTATTTAATACATTTAAATAAGGTTTTTTTTTTTAAATTAAAATTTTCATTTAATTTTTATAATATTTAAAATAAGTGTGATTTAGATTTGCATTTAAAATATTTATTTATTTTATTGAAATACAAAGTAATTCATTTTTTTTTATTTTTTTTACAATTTTCGCCAAACAGTACATGCGGAACCCAACCAAGTTAATCGACATCTCTTTTAAAAGTCGCTAATCTTTTATTATCAAAAATCAAATGTGATATTGATCATAGTTAAGTGAAAAACTGTAAATTATCCACAACATCACATGTGATATTTGTAATGAATTACATTTGAATCACATTCGATCTTATACATATTACATGTGTTCTGCTACACATCACATTCCATTTTGTTTTCATTATTATTATTTTTTGATGTGTAATTCGAATCACTGTTTTTTCACGGTTTTAATCACATGTGATTAGATTGAAAACTTTTTATTAAAAAAAAGTCAATTGATTGTGGATCATATATGATCTTGATGAAAACAATATATTTTTTTAAATGTTATCTTTAACGAACAAAAAATCTTTAAATGCATATCAAATTATGTTTATTTTAAATGTCTTAAATAGAAAATATTTTTTTAAACTGAAAAATTAAATCAAATTAAAATAATAAAAATAAAAATCTTAAAAAAATGCTTTAACTCTTTTTTAAATAAATGACTTTCATACCCTTATGTATTTATTTTTAGAATTTTTTATTTCATACATTATTCAATCAATCTTGTGGGCTACTTTTTGTTTCAGACATTATTTAATCATTCTTTTTAAAATTAATAAATTAAATCGATTAAAAATAAAAAATTCAAAATACAGATAAAAAGGTTTTAAGAATTTATTGATCACAACTATATTCTTTTAGAAAATATCTTTATTTAATTAGTATTTTGTACTATTCCTTCATCTCCACTTTTATTACATTAACTTTTTTCTTTCCTATAGACATGAGAATTTGTCCCGACCCGTCAGGAAACCCAATTCACCCGTCCGGTCAAGAATGAGGATTCCTCGATAAATTGGGTTTCAGGGACGGGGATCCCCGTTTGGCTCAAACCGGTGATGGGGGTGGCGATGAGTATCGCACTCCCCGCTCAACCCCGTACCCGTATATATATTAATTAAATGTGTTTTTGGATATTACTCGATATGTTTTGGTACATATAACGTTAATTTTGTTAGATTAAATTTAATTTCTTTTGGTTTCCAATTTATTAATTATTATATGATGATGTTATTTTCTCTATTAAATTAAATTTCTTTTGATTTTAGGTTAATTGGAAAAGTGTGAAATCTAAACATGTATAGCGTCTCACACATTTGATTTAACAAAAACTTACACAAACAGAAAAAAAAAAAAAATCTTCATTTCCCCGTTGGAGGTACGGGGGATGAGGATGTGATCAAATTCCCCGATGGAGATGGAGACTTTTAGATGAAGTTTGAAAAAGAAAATGGTATTTATTAAAAAAAATTGAGTTGAAATTGTCTTATTAAAATATGGATTAACAATTAAAAGAAAAACCTGAAGACGGAGATGTTACAACTTATATGGATTAACGACTAAAAAAATATATATGGATTAAAAAAATTGTATGATACAAGTTGAAGGTCAACTATCCATTTAATGGAGGTTTTACAGATATACATTGTCTCAAAATATCTAACTTTAAACTGATAGATCTTGCACACAGATAGCATGTAAGAAATATGTTGAACTGATAATAGATTACTATCCCATAGAGTCGTTGAGGAGAGACAAAAAGTTCCAACAATAATATGAGATAGAGTAAATTGTGATTTTTGTCCCTGTGGTTTGTTAATAATTCTGATTTTCGTTTCTATGGTTTGTAATTTATTGTTATTTTCGTTCTTAAACTAATTCTTACTTTAAATACAAGGGATCAAACCAGTAAAGAAATTGTAAATCACAAGGATCAAAACAACAATAAATTGTAAATTATAAAGACGAATATAACAATAAATTTACAAACCAATGGGATGAAAAAAGCAAATTTGAAACTACATGGACGAAAATTGGTACCTTTAACAAATCACAGGGACAAAAACGTAATTTATTAATATTCTTTTAGCACATTGTTTTATAATTTAATTTAGTACCTAGAATTAATGATATTGAAAGTCGTATCCAACTTACCTAACAAAATCTTATTATAGTCTTTTGAACGTCATACAAATTATAAAAACTCGGTTTGGCTATTAATGAAAGTATTTTATATCAAATGAAAGGAATATTTTTTCAAAAAGGAATATTCCAAAATTATCCTTTTTTCTTTTGTATAAAAATTGATTGTTTTTAATTGTTGTTTCTCCAATATAACCTTGTATGCACGAACTACGGTCAATTGCATCTTAAGCAGATATAATTTTTGCTAATATATGGACCGTTTACTAGACACTTACTTTGATAAATATTTATTATTCAATTATTTTATTAGAAACATAATAAGAACTGAGAATCTTATCCAAACATGTGTCTAGAATTTTACTCGGTAAGTAAGATTACGGACTTTTACTTAATAAGATATCATGATTATTATATGTTAAAAAACATTGCATATGCAAACAAAACACAGGTTTCTCTTTCAAGAAAAAAAGATACATTTTACTTCAAGATTCTCTACTACAATAGAAGTCGAAATTGTGATAGCACAAAAGTAACCAAACCAACCATAAGATATACGATTTAATGCATGAAGTAAGTGACAAAAAATTTAGGTTTAAATAATGCTTGGGGATTTTTAGTAAAAAAAAAAAACAAAGGACATGATAGATTCAACAGGAAGATACAATTGCAAATTTTCCATTTTGGAAGATCTTAAATCTTAATGGGAAGGAAGGCAGGGTGACCATTTTGCGCACCACTACTCTATTCAGTTTCAAATCAAGGGTGGGCTGCAAAGTAGGCTAGTAGCCCGACCAACGGTGCGTTTATGTAAGTCGTTGGCTCTGATTCTTGAAAGAAGGGTCTAGAGTCGGGAAAGGCGTCGGTGGTGTTGGGCCCACCCACTACGGCTCCAACCAATACATTTGGGTTGGGGTTTGGGCTAAAGAAGTAACGAGATCCAGCCTTGCAACCAATGCGAGCTGGATGGACTCTAACCGAAGGTAACGAGCTTCCTCTGTGGTGAATCCTTTGCGGGTATCGGTTTCCATATCCTACCATATAAGACATCCTCATTGGATTATCCCCAAGGATATAGTTCACCTGCAAACCAACAAAATAATAGAACTTCATTTAGGGGGTGTACAAGTTTTGATGCATGATGTATAAGGTATGTATGAGTATGATAAAGGGAATGTTTGTAAAAGTGGAGACCGTTATTTTTTGGATGGATTTAATATAAATAACTAATTACAACCATCCATTTGGCAACAAGCAAAGTCATGTACATGGGTCCAATTCAAACCAAATTTCAACGCCCCCAATCACTCGCATCAATCATTGTATAAGATTCCATATTTTTGAGAAAAATTTATGCTAGGTTTTCTCCGTACAGTAACATCCAACATTGTTATTTCTGAAAAGCAATAATTTTCGATTTCTTCTAAATCATGATATTTGGACCAGCTTGTCTTCACCTCAACTAGTCCTAAGGATCCTAAAAATAGCCAAGTAAATTCTCGATAACCTTGTAGGACTAAAACCGGTAACCTCCAAGGAGAATTCTAAAAGCCCAAATTTTATTGTCAGTTGATCTAACTCTATAAAGTTTGACATTTTCAAACATTTGGTTAACTCCAACCAACAGGCAAAAGATTAGCCTGTAGAAGAGAAGCAACATATATATATGTTGTTATCCTGTTCGGGGGGACCTTCTTTTGAGAATTCGTTAAATTGTGATAACCTTGAACTAGTGCATCATATGCTATTTCATATGAATTTTTTCATCTAAGACTAGGATTTAGAATATCGATTAACATATTATCTCACATGCACTTAGTTCACAATGTAAACTTTTTTAGTGTGTTTCTAAAACAAAGAATAAACATAAAAAAATTTCACATTATGAACCGAATACATATGAAACAAACACATTTTGAAACAAACATATGTTAATCAATATATTAAATATTATACTTAGAGGGAAAAATCATGTTAAACAAAGTATTAAGGTTGAAGTTCTCATAGATCTCACAAATTTTAGAGTTCTTAAATGATTAATCTCTTCATGTTCAAACGGCATATATGTTGTGTGGTTGGAGTTGAATCAACTTTTGATTTTAACGGTCCCACCAATTTATTATTTTTTGCTAGGGTTGGATGGTTTAATAAACGGGTTTTGCTAAATGCACACCTACATATACATATACATATACATATACATATACATATACATATACATATACATATACATATACATATACATATACATATACATATACATATACATATANATATATATATATATATATATATCATGTCAAATCATACATAGAAAATGTAAAAAATTTGTATTGATTATTGATGTGTTTAAGTAGGCAATTAATATATAAGTATTCATTCAGTCTACCCCTTAACAATTACCTCTATCTTTTTATAAATTTTGAGGGCAAAGGAAAAAAAAAGAGGTGTTTAGTTTTTAGGTACCTGACGTTTAGCCAAGCTTTTGAGAAGAGCAGGGGAGGCAGATTTTCCAGCACATGGCACCACATGATTGGCATGACTTAGATAGTTAGAATAGGCCAACAGCAAGAAAGATAATGAAGTTACATGTTGCATGTTACTCCCTCCAGCTTTAAAGATCAATCCACCTAAGAAATCAAAATCATCAATTACACCACCTTTCTTTCTTATCTTCATATTGAAGGAATAAAACAGGAGCATAAAATAAGCAACCTGGTGAGTATTGAACTTGAAGATGGGCAGTTCCAGGCAATAATGAACAAATGAAAGCATCTGCGTTGTTCTGAAATGATCTCAGATCAGGTGATTTTCCCATTAACACCTCCTGCATCACCATGGTTAATTAGTTATCAATTAATCCTTCATTTATGGTTTGATTATTTTGTACTATTTTTCTATTAGTGTGACCAAAATCTAAAAAAAAACAATGCACATGGATATTGGAAATGAGATATACGGTCAATTTTTATCTACAGCTACTACTACTTAAAGTGAGGTCACCATCAGTCTTTCCCCTTTCTGAACCAATACTAATTACATCCTATCCATCTAGTATGGAAATTGGGAAGCAAGTGTCAAAACCTCCTTCCTTCTCTCCCTACTTTCCTTGCCTTTATGCACATGGATTGATCACTGACCCCTTCTTAGCCAACTGGGGCCCTGCACGCAAATCTAAACATGGAGGAGGTACGTGCCATCTTGCATTAGTCCATTCCAATTGGGACTAAAGACAAATACATACACTGAGATAGACGTATTTGTTGCTACACAGGACAATCCTATTTGATCAAGGACCTTGCTCTTACTCTAAACAACCCTTTCAACTTCATTCCTTGAATTCTTTTATTATTATCAAACATGTCTTTCTAACCTTGGACAAAATACATCCTTTTTTCAAGAATCATGTCATTGTAATCTTAATGCTGGGTTTGTGACATAAGATTAAATCACTAACAAAACCATTTTGGATGGACCCTTCACAAATCAGTCAACTTTTAGGGGTTTGTTATAAGATAGCCATGGAGTTTGCAAAGTACTTCTCAAACTCTCTTTTTTTGCAATATGACGCTATTGGTGAGGGTTTGTAAAATGGGTATCTAACAAACCCTAAAGAGTATGTTTTTTCTTCAATAAGATAATCAAGATTCATATAAACAAGCTGAAAATATGCATCTTTTAAAAAAAAGGGGGCATTCTCAAAGCCATTTTGTTAACTGTGGCTATTATATTTATGTAGCAGAAAAGAAGATTATTTTATGATGGATGACTCCAAAATGGTTATTTTAGTCTAGATATTAACCCAAAATATATTTTGATTTTGATTGGTAATGGGACCCGGCTGGGGTTTCCACTTTAGAAAAAAACATGATTTACAAAATTGAGAGCATGTGACTTGGCTGACACAGTGTAAAAAGGTAGCATTAGAGTATGGTGTGATTTAGAATAGACACCCAGCGAATGAGAAGAAGAATACCGACACACACTATAAGACAACAAGGGTTTGATAAGATCAGGCATCAAGGATAACACAAGCGTATCAGCTTATCATAAGATATTCAAATCCAAACGAAATCATCGTGCAAATTTTAATTAAACAGGAAAGTCCTTTTTTTATGTACCTTGGAGATGAGAACATTGATGCCCGCGTGTTTGTTATCCCAACCAAATTCATTAATGGTGTCCCCTGCCCTTAAAATGACCTCATTCCGTATTATGTACTCCCTGTATTGCCGTCTTCTTGATGCCTTGTGCAACCATGCTGCTGCCCATAGCAGTTCATCCTGCGCTCATAAATTTAAATTAACAAAAAGAAATGTTAAGACTTCTATCGTTTTTTACTTAAAAAAACCCCATTCGGCTTATGGTAACTGTAAAAATCAACTATATAAGATAATGGTACCTGGTAACCATTGTTGTCACAGTAAAAAGGGCAAACAGCAGAGTGTAATGCATTGCTGTATGCGCCTCTGTATGTGTCAGCAAACCGGAAGACCTAACCAATATCAAAAGTAAATAGAGGGTAAGTAGAATTGCTTTGGGAAGCGTTAAAGTTAACAGAAAGATGTCCAGTCTTGGATTGATCAATTTTGGGGCCCAATTGCTATTATAAAATTGTCACAATTCAGTCTTTACTCTTTTACTTCAGATTATAAATAATAATAACCGAAATACGACCCAATCCACAACAAGCATTTTACCAAAAGTAAATGTCGCTCAAATATGCATAAAAGAATAGGTTTTTATTGCATTCAAGCAGGACTCAGAAAATGCATGATTCCATTAAAAATACAACTTTCAAAAAATGTCTCAAACTAACAATCTGACATCTAAGAGCGTGACCACTTTCATTGGATCAAAAGTCACCATCGAGTTAGAGACTTCATTTATTACTCTTGAATATAATCAAAATTTCTCCAATAATGAAGCTATCTTAATGAGGGAATACGTTATGAGTAAATAAAATTATCCAACAAGACATGTTCAACAAACGTCTCACTTTTAGTTATTTTACAAACGTTATTTAAAACAGCATTTCAATATATTTTTGATCAACCAAACCAACAACTAGTTTTTCAGCTAAATATGTCACATTGTGGTGGTGAGGAGTCTTATTTTTCCCATCGACCTTTACAATAATGAAATTTTTTATCTTTCTTGAAAAGGACAGATATAATATTTTGGCTAAATCCTTAAATTCATTTTCTGGTGTAACAGCTAATATGTGTTTTAACAACCTTGCTAACATGGGTCTTTGATGCTTCATCCAGAAAATATAAATGCAGCTTTTGTCTTGAAATAGTGTAAAACACATGGAAAAATAATATTCGATTTTGTAATAAAAATAGAACCAGTTAACAAAAACTTTAATAAATGTCATCCCATGTGTATGAAGTATATTGAAGTGGATATGAGATTTATGTTTTCGAAATTGATTTCACCATTAATCCACATCCTTTTTGTAACTCTTTAAGTTAATGTCAACAAATTAAGCAATGCTAAACAAGATTTCATATCACTACTCTTAATATGTGTTGATATTCATACGATCGGTTGCTTATCAACCCAAAAAAAGATCCCAATAACTTTTTCGAATCGAAGGAAGTATTTGTCCATTGTAGGTTACGCATAAACCTATTGTTTTAGATTATGTCATCTAAGCATCTTTCTTTAACCAATGGGCATTTCAATATCACGTGAAGCTAGAAAATTTTAGACCTTAGGACCGTTTCAAAAATAACTAATAACATCCAACGAGAATGATGGCACAAATTACGTAATCCCTTGTTTTCAAGATATACAAACAAAGCAACTAGCATTTGACACGTATAGTAGGCATATCAACCTTTACCTTTCTGCTATAACAAAATGACAAAAAAATAAAACGTACCTTAACAGCACGGTTGAGAAGAATGCGCGAGTAAGTGGGGTCACGTGACCGGAAAACAATTGATGCAGCGGCCAATGCAGCGGCGGTCTCCCCTGCCACATCAGATCCAGGGTGGTTCCGATCAATCTTAAACACCGTTCGCAATGTATCCATATCCTCCGGCCTCTCCCAACAGTTATGATCCGAAATAGCATCCCCTACTTGAACATAAACGACACCGTCCGTTGCCGTTGCCTTCAATAAGTAGTCTGTTCCCCATTTCACCGCCCTAACTGCATGCCCTAGCTCCGGCCCCATGATCCTCCCAAAATCAATCACACTCCACGCCAGCAATGTCGTCGTAAACGCCATCGGAAAACCGAACTTAATGTTATCTCCGGCGTCGTAGTATCCTCCCGTCAAATCGACCTGCAAATTTCAACACATATACTCAAAAAATCAAAACTCAGCATATAGAAACGCATTCATCATAGACTTCAAATATAAACCTACAGATTTGAACTTTAACCAACTATGATTTAGTAAAACAACAAACCTAAATTCACATTTCAGTAAACATCCAGATACTTGAGATAGAAGAAGAAACTACTTACTCCGGCGGATGCTCCGTCGTGCAATGCAGAATGACTGCGCCACCTGACACGCTGATCCGGCGGAAGTTTGCCGGAACGTTGACCTTCAAAAAAGAGAATGCATTTCCGGAGAGCATCGGAGTAATCATGCGCAGAGGCGGAAGCAGAGGCGGAGAAGAGAAGAATGAGAGTAGAAACAGCAAGAATGAGGGGTGAATTAGCCGTCGGCGAAGTTACCGGTTTTGGCGCCATTTGGAGTTTGCGGGAAGGAGAAGTAAGGAATGGGATGGGATGAGAATGGCGGGGAAAAGGGGAAGCGTCGTCGTTTGGCTTTATAGAGAAAAAAAAAGTAGGTCATTGGATTCTCGAGGATGGGCGAATGAGAGTGGAACACGTGATAGGGTGCGAAAGGATGGGTAGATACCGATGAGCACAGGATTTTTGTTTGACTTATTGGGTTGTAGTTTGACCGACCCAGACGGGTTGAAATTTCGACCCGGTAAGTAACCGTTGCCTGCTCCGTCCCCACAAAAAATTGTGCCGTTTACTATCATCCAACATTTTTCACCATGTCGTTTTCATCCATTATCATTTGTAATTTGTCCCTAATTATTTTTATTTATTTATTTTTCTAAATGATAATTTCCATCGTAACGGTATTGTCATTCTTATCGTTTTCGTCTTTTTAGAAGAAGAAAAAGTGTAGAGATTTTGAGTTTCCTTAAAATGGAAAAAGTAAGGTGTCGTTTGTTCTTTAAAAGATATTGAAGTTTAAAGTCTTATTTCACTTTTAAATGATAAAAATGTTGAAGTCTGAAATCATAATTAATAAGACTGTTTGTTCTTATAAGTTGATAAACATCTGGATGCATGTAGTTATCTATTTTACACAATAAAATATTATAATGTTGATTTTATAAAACTAGCAACATATATTATAAAGTTTTCATGAATACATAAGTTAGGAGAAAGCTCAATATAACAAAGAGTAACGAGTCAATCACACTATGTACCATGTACAAGAATGTCCAACAAATTTGGTACAAATCTTCTATTCACATTAACAAAAACAACAAAATCAAGCCACCCACTTGAGCACAAGCATGAGCGGATCAAGAACTTGAATCTAGTCTCAGACCAATATTTTTCTCCTAAAAAACAATCTTATTCTACCTCCAAATGCCATTATTATGCTATTTGTTGGATTAGGTTTCGACAAATCAAAAGGGATTTTAAATGAGTCGGTTATATTAGAAGCCTAGATCGAGAAGCATTAAAGCTTGTTGCTGTTGAGCCATGGTTTCCATAACATTGTGCGGTGCAAACATTAGGTTAGAAGCATAGATTGAGAAGCAACACTTGGAATGATGGAGAAACAATACTTTGCATCGACTATGTTTCCTGATCGAGAGATATTATGATTGATTCAGATTTTCCAGTAAAATATAGTTCAATAACAGTGTCGATGAGAATCTTTGAAATTAAACGTATACAAAAAAAGAAATTGAATATTTTTGTAGTATAAATCGTATTGTAATCTTCAAAATAGAGAAAACTGTTAAAAATTAGCATAAATTTTATTTGAAGATTTTGATTTTTGATTATCCATTTTATAAAATATGTTAAAGAGAAAATGTTGGAGATGGTTTTTTATTAATATTTTAATTTTTAATTATTTATTAAAGATGTTATGAGATTTTTTTATAAAATATAAATTTTAGAAAATGAAAAATAAAGGACAAAAACTACAATTTTATTTTAATTTTTTAGTTAGAAGTTAAATATTATATTTTATTTCAGAAAGAAAAAGAAATTAATTAATTAGTATTTATTTGGAAGGCATAAAAAAAGCAAAAAGTGGTCGTTTATGGAGCCCAAAAAAAAAATGTGAAATGAGTTTTGGGGATGGGGGAGTGTGAGTGTGGTGGAGGTGGGGGCATTTAAGACATTCACCACCCGCCCCTCCACTCTTTTCACGGTTTTCACCGACTTTTTATCATCTACGTGCTCTTTCACGCCTCCTCTTTGCCTTTTTCTTTATGTTTCACAACTCTCACTCTTATGTTTTATATATTTGGATAAAATTTGATTTTCGACAATCTCAATCGGTTTCGTATAAAACAAATTCTCAACCCTTGATTAGATCTACAATCTGAACATTCATAATTACAAAATTGTCACGAGACTTCTTAATAATCACAAAATTGTCATCGTGCAACTTTGGACCATTAGATCATTAGCTTATAAAGTTAATCAATGAACATAAATTGGTCTTACAGGTCTCACGTGAACCCAACCCTATATATATGTGTGTGTGGTGTTCACAGTTAATGAACATATATACAAAAGAGTTATATAACGATGGAGAATAAATTGATAAATAAATTTATATGAAGAGGATATGTGCTGATATAAATGTCCTATCTACATATTAATAAAGACTCAAAAAAACATATTAAATCAAAGAAATAAAATAATATCAGGATCATCGAGTTATGTTGAGTTCAAATAATGTAACCCAATATCAACCCGATATCTACAATTTGAAGATTTTACAACTCGATTAAACACCAAGTTACTTTGGATTGAGTTATTTCGCGTTAAGTTAAATTGGGTTGGTCAGGTTTTTGAATACCCAAAATGATCTACATGTCATATTCCATATATTCAACATGTTTAATTCATCCTAAAATAAATATTCATGATGAAAATTAAAAAAATGCACATAGTTTAGAAATATTTAATGATTACAAATTTTTATGAACTAAAGTACAATGTTACCCTTAATAATGGAGTAAAAAAATTCTCCCTCTAATAATTAAGAGTATAATGGAAAAATAGACTTGTATTTTTGAAAGTAAACATTTATTTTAAGGTAAATTAAATAAAAATGTAGATATTTAGGGAAGGATGAAATATTATTATAATATATATTAGGTAAGTGTAAATTTATA